ATCCAACCATCTCATCTTCTGTCATCCCCTTCTCATCCTGCCTTCAATCCTTCCCAGCATCAGGATCTTTTCCAATGAGTTGGCTCTTCACATCAGGTGGCCAAAGGATTGGAGCGTCAGCCTCAGCATCAGTCCTTCCAATGAATATTCAGGGTTGATTTCCTTTAGGACTAACTGCGTTACTGTCTATGCCCTATAGAAAGTAGACTTAAAATTCAAAGACCATTATTTAACTTCCTTTTTAATTCATAAGAACTACAGGATTTAAAGCAGAGCAAACTGTTGCGTGGTTTTACTCCCATGTTTCAGGGGCAAGGAAGCTGAAATGCAGAATTTCCAGAGTCCACCTATAAGGCTTGTATGAGTAAGCAGCAGAGCTGGGTGATCCTGGATCCTGACCTGGCCCTAGGGCACGTGGCTTTGCAGTATTCCATCCCCTCAGGGCTTCTTGGTGGTTCAGATGGTAAAGAGTCTGCTGGCAATGCAGGACACCCAGGTTCCATCCCTAGATTGGGAAGATCCCTGGAGAAGGGACTGGCTACCCACTCCAGTATTCTTGCCTGGAGAATCCCGTGGACAGAGGAGCCTGGTGGGCTACAGTCCAAGAGGTCACAGAGAGTCAGATACGACTGAGCCTCTACCACTTTCACCCCACCTCAGGAGGCAGTGACATGTGGCCATACATTCATACCAGTGCACAAAACTGAGATCAGACCCTCTTTTTTTAAAAAAAAGAAAAAAATTGTTTATACATTTGTCTTTGTTGGGTCTTCGTGTGACATGCAGGACCTTCACTGAGGTATGCAGGCCAGAGCATGGGGTCTCAGTAGTTGAAGTTCATGGGCTTAGTTGCCCCAAAGGATGTGGGATCGTAGTTTCCTTACCAAGGATCAAATGCATGTCCCCTGCATCGGAAGGCAGATTCTTAACTGCTGGACCACCGGGGAAGTCTCCAAGATCAGAGCCTCTTGGGGAAGTATGTTTTGAGAGGCAGAATGGCATTAGGTATTCACAAGGTTGAAAAGGAAAAGAAATACCTTGCAATATTTAGGATTTTTGGATTACAAATGATAGAAATCCAGCTCAAACACACTTAAAAGTGCAAGCTAATTTAAGCTTGGAAGATGCAAGGAACACTGCAGGAAGCATATCTTGACCTGGAGTTTGTGCCAGCATGTGGTACAAAGATGGCCACTGACTGTTCATATATTCCTAGTTAAGCACCTTCAGGAGAAAAACAGAGCTTTCCTCAAGCAGCCTCCAAGTATATACTTACACATACACCCAATGAAGGATTCTGACTGGTCCTGACTCAGTCATGCACCCACCCTGTGGACCAGTCACTGTTGTCAAGGAGATGAGATACCGTAATCAGCCATGCCTGATGGTGAGTCCACCCCCTTGGCCAAAAGGGCAGGCTCTGCCATTGACAGCTCCTCCAGAACTGATGGTACGGAGGAGGGTGCTTCCTCAAGGAGGGCTGGGCAGACAAAAACAGGGCAGCCATTCAGACATCCGAAAGGAAAAACAAGCTTCATTTAAAGGTTTCTCTGATCAAGATCTTTCCAGGAGCTCCTCAAACTACAGATGAGTGTTTGTATAAATATAAATCCATAAGATTACACAATTTACATGTAAAATGGGGCCAGTTTTCTCACGAGGTTCATAAACCAGCTCTGAAGCAATTCTAAAGAAATGGTGACAAAATTGTTTTTAGCATTAGCAACATTACTAGAAAAAAGCTCAAAGGCTCCCAAGGTGCCCACTTGGAAGGACAACTTTCATATGAATGTAGAAGTATTATTTGGGTTTGTTTTTTTTTTTGAAATCCAGATTATATGGACATGAGTTTGAGTAGGCTCCGGGAGTTGGTGATTGACAGGGTAGCCTGGCATGCTGCAGTCCATGGGGTCGCAAAGAGTTGGACACGACTGGGCGACTGGACTTACTGTAAAATTATTTTGGTAATAACTAAATCAATACAAATGAATCATTACCAAAATAGGTGTGCATCTCAATGTAAATACTTTCCTTTTAGAACTAAGAATTTAGGGAAATGAGAATCACAGCGTGAGCTTTAGTTAAATCTAAAGCGGGGGTTTTTAACATGGGGTTTGCGGGTCCCCCAATCTGGTTACTGTCATCCAGTACTGGTTACTGGAGAGCTTATTAAAGTTAGAAGGGACTGGGTCCCACCCCAGAGATGCTGGTCAGGAGGTCAGGCATCACTACTTTTTGAATCCTTGGCCAGGGCTTTTGACCAGTCCTTGAGGCTGAAAACCACTGCCCTAGAACAGCATTTCTGAATTGTGGGAGTAGTCCTTTACATCAGAATCTGGAGAGCCTGTTCAAATGCAGATTTCTGGGCTCCTCCCAGCCTACTAGGTCTGCTCCAGGGAGGAACAGAGCTGTGTCTATAGTTTAAGTTCCCAAGTGACTTTTAAACATTTGAAATTTTCTGAGATAAGTATAGATTTACAGGAAGTTGCAAAATAATGTACAAAAGATCCTGTGTACCCTTTACCCTGTTTCCCCCAATGATTACCTCTTGCATAGCTACAGTACATCATCAAAACCAGGAAATTAACATTGATACAATCCATAATGGGCTTCCCAGGTGGCTCAGTAGGTAAAGAATCAGCCTGCAATGCAAGAGATGCAGGTTCAATCCCTAGGTTGGGAAGATTCCCTGGAGGAGGCATGGTAACCCACTCCAGTATCCTTGTCTGGAGAATCCCAAGGACGAGGGAGCCTGGCAGGCTACAGTCTATAGGATCGCAAAGAGTTGGACACAACTGAAGCTACTGAGCACACACAGCATGATCCATACTTATTCAGATTTTATCAGATTTTCAAGCCTTCATGTGTGTGTGTGTGTGTGTGTGTGTGTAGAATCCTCTGAAGTCTTATCAGATGTGTAGGTTTGTGTAACCACTACTGTACGTTAAGATACAAAACGGTCACCACAAGGCTCTCTTGTGTTACTTTTTACAGTCACACCACCCTATCACACCCCCCACATCCCTAGAGTTTAGAATCTACTCATCTCTTTTCCTTTAGAAACAACTAATCTCACTGCTGTTTCAAAAACATATAAATGAAATCATATAATATGTAACCTTCCTAGATTGGCTTTTTTCATTTCAGGTGTTGAAGAATTCCTCAAATTTCATTTTAAAATGCTACGAAAGGGAAATGTCTTGGGGAAATGTCCACAGTTTTTACCAGATTCTCAAAAAAATTCTATGACATGCCCTATAAAGTTTATAAAAGCATTGGTTTTTTGGGGGTTATTTCTGGTCTTCTTGGCTAAAATCAATTTTAAAAAACAAACTAGTGAATATTTTTTCTTCTACCACATCTGTTGAATTCCTGTGTCCCAAAGATTTCTCTAACAGTTTGGGAAATATGATCACTCAGATGAATATTTCTGAGTGCCTGACATGTGCCAGACAAATATTATTTTTTCCCTAGTTAGTAAGAAGGGGAAGAGTTAAAACATTAAAGACTCTTTTAGCTTATGAAAAGTTCTAAGTAACTAAGAAGTCAGAGCAAACTTTGCTGCTTTCTTGCCATATGACTTAAACTGCTCTGCTCTTTACCACTTGGAACTGGATGTGCCAGTGATCAAATAACATCCTGAAAAATAATTCCATACACAGGACTGAAAACATGGCATTATGCAGTGGGGCTACTTGTCATCACTCTGGTTGGCTTTATACAGTTTCTAGTCAAGAGCTTATAGCTCTTCCAGGCATGCTTGTCCCCGGGCAATTGTCAACTGACTGCCTGCCACACCCTCACTTCCCTTTGCCACCCACCTATCTGGACTAATTCTTGTCCATCCTTTGAAACTCATGTTAGGAAGCACCACCTCGAGGAAGATTTCATTCTCTCTTCTTCACGCTTTCAGTGGGGTGTGCCCCCAGTGTCACCCATACTTGCCAGATGTCACAGTGGATGGTGATTATCTAATTGCCACTGCCACCAGGCTCTGAGACCCTTGAAGGCTATGACTGGGTCTTAGATGCTTTTATGTCCCCAGCACTTTAATAAATAGCAAAATTTATTTAACAAATAAATGACAATATGTCCTTAAACAGCTTCCTTTTGGCGTTTACCACCACTGCTGACTGGCTTAGATTTTCCTCCATTTCTTTTTTTTTTAAAGACTTTTTTCATGTGGATCATTTTCAAAGTCTTTATTGAATTTGTTATAATATTGCTTCTGTTGGATGTTCTGGGCTTTTGGCCCCGAGGTGTGTGGGATCTTAGCCTCCCCAACAAGGGATTGAACCCACATCCCCTGCATTGGAAGGCTAAGTCTTAACCACTGGACCACCAGGGAAGTCCCTCTGTTTCTTCATTAGTGTCAATAGTATCTCCTGAGCTCCTTCACATGTAGGTGTAGCACCCCATTGTTCGGTCTTTCCCTGCAAGTTTAATCTTCCCTGAATTCTCATAAAGGTTTATCACTACACTTTAGGCTTTTGCCTAAGAATCAGTATATACAAGTCACTGATCTTCTCTTGCTAGAATGCCTGTCTCCCCAATTTTGGAAAATGGGGACAACATTGACCTGTACCATTTTCCTTCTTGGTCTTACTACTGGATCCTATAAATTCTTTATTATTGTGTTTAAACTTACAGATCTGTCTTTCCTATCAAGGGGGTGAGTTTCCTGGGGCTAAAGACTGTCTCTTATTCACCCCAGAGTCTCCAGGGACTGGTACCAGGTGGGATTCCATAAATGTTTGTGGAATGAAGTTTGGTGTTAGGTCATCAGAGCTCTGCCGTTCCTCGCTTAGCACGTGCATTTTCTCATCTTCTCCACACCTTCACTCCCTATTTATCCTTTATCCCTGATTCTAAGCCACTGTGAATTCTTTCTGGAAAGGAGAAGAGAACAGACAAATACGACATTTATCATTTTTAATTTAAATTTAATTTAAAGTCATTTTAACTTAAACATTTTAAAGTAGTTCTCTTATTCCTCCCAGGTACTATCTTGGTCGTCGGATGTTTATTGTTATCTCTGAGCCAGACATGATTGAGCAGGTGTTGGTTGAGAAGTTCAGTAACTTTACCAACAGAATGGTATGTAATTTTCTTTCTGCATATGGATGGAGGGGGAATCCTTCTAAGATGCAAGGACCACACATCACATCTAACAGGGACGTGATTGGGCCTCTTACAGGGTTTAGATCAGTTCAACTCAAAACTGAGCTCCCCAGTGAATTCGAGTTTTCAAAAGAGATGTACAGGACTGTTACAAAAGAATAGCGTTTACATTTAAAAAATGCTTCAAGAAAGCGAAAGCTCAAGAGAAGTGGTAGCTGATAAAAATGCTGAAACTGGGAGGGTGTTTAAAGCTGTGTTCAAACCTAGAGGAATCCAGAGAGCATAGGTCAAGCGTCTGAGGAAGACCAAGGAAGGTTAATAAATATCAGAGGGAAAGTAACATTTCAAGACTCCTGTGCTTACAGCTTTCCCAGTGAGTATCAACCTCTTAAGATTGGAAAAGGAAGACAAGTAACATGAGGAGGGAAATTCATCACCAAGTAACAAATCTCTAGCCCACTAAAGGAGGTACATATTCCATTTTTTTTTGCCCAGTACATATCCTACTCTTTGTTTTTGATGAGAAAGCCCAAAGAATGGAAGAGATGACAGACAATGGCACAGGTCAGGGCTATCCGTATTTTCCAAAAATGAGGAGATAAGAATCCTAATAGAGATGATCAACAGCCTTCATGCTGACTTTTGGAAAATAGTCTAAAGTGAATGAATAAACAGTTGCTTGTGAGAATTCATAAAATCTCTATGTGCCAATCTTTTTTTTTTGTCAAATTAAACTCATCTTCCATTCTTACAGTAATAGTAAGCAATGTATTCACTCTTTTGTTGGTTATTTGACCAACCTTTGCACACTTGTGATATATACCAGGCACTGTCTAGGTACGGATTAGAAAGAGATAGAAAACTCAGGATTGTCCTCGAGGAGCTCATAGGCTAATGACAGAGGCAGAGAGGAAGAAAACCAGTATAATACAGAATGGTGAGCATGGAAAACACTGCTTCACCCAAAATGGGAAAAGGGAAAGGATTCTTAGAGGTGAGGTGGCTGAGACTGTCTTATTAAAGAAATTAGTGCCCGCCTGTGTTCTGTACTGGTTGAGCTGTCCAGAGTATTTCTTCGCATTAAATTTCACAGAAACTTATGAGACTGGTACAGTTATCATCTGTATTTTACTGACAAAGAAATAAGACTCAGGTTATAGGAGGAAGACTAATAGAATCCATGTGCCATCTCCCAACTCAAGTCCAGGGCTTTTTCTACTGCCATTATTGTAACACCTGCCTAGGTGATGTTTCTGGATTGTTAAGGTTTCACGGAGTAATTGGTTACTTGCCCCAAACACACTCACCTTCCAGTCCCAGAGTAGCATGTCCAATTGCTATTAACAAGAGAATCCCTCACCTTTACTACACCCATCCAAACCCTTGGTATTCTTCCAGGCTCTCCTCAAATTCTTTCTCCCCCATTAAACTTTCCCTACTTCAACTCTTATTTACTATCCCCACCTCTCTTAAGTGTAACAGCATTGATCATCTGCATCAGTGGTACCCAACCTTTTTGGTACCAGGGACTAGTTTTATGGAAGATAATTTTTTCAACAGGCTTTGTGTGGGGAATAGTTTCAGAATGATTCAAGCACATCATATTTATTGTGCACTTTATTTCTGTTATTATTACATCAGCTCCACCTCAGATCATCAGGCATTAGATCCCAGAGGCTGGGCAGCCCTGGACTATGTCACTGCCATCATTTTCTCAGTCACTCCCATTGTGCCTTTGACTATTTACTGTAAATGAATGCATGACTTTCACCCTAACTTGATTAACTTTAAGCTTATCCTTCTATTTTATACCCCAGGGCCCAACCACATGATGACTCCTCAGTATTCAATATACCCTTGTTCAAACTGAATTGACTCTCCATCACCTTAATCTTCTCCCCAGATGATTGAGGTGGCACTTGGAGATTCATTATATACTCTTCCTCTTGTAAGTCATTCACAAACATGTAAGAAGATCCATCAAGAATCAGATCTCTAGGAAACCCCAATGTTTTTCCATCTGGGAATATATCCACTTATCTTCAGCTTAGTTTATGGTCTTTAAGCCAACCCCATATTCATGATAAAAAACAACCCTTAGTGACTCAGTTTTTAGAAGACCATCTTTAGAGTGGGATTTTCTCATAGGTTTTGAAAGTCAAATTAAACTGGGCTCTGCGGTTCTCTTATCCATATGCTTATATATCTGCTCAAAGAACTCAAGGAGATTACCGAGGCATGATTTCTTCTTCCTGACATCATGCCACCTCCCCTCTAATAAGCCATGTTTACTTGAGTGTTCAGTGATTCAGCTTTATTACACATTCATTCAGTAAACACTAAATGCTTACTCCATGCAAGCCTCTACCAAACGGTCCCTCGTGATACAGAAAATACCTCCGCATATTAGTTTGACGCATTAAGTGAAAAGGAACTTAAATAACGCATGGTTTCATTTTCCAACTGTGAGAACCCATCTCTGCTCACAAATCCAGGCTTGACTTACATGTACGCATGACAGCCTGGTGGAGAGTGGTGGGGATGGGTTCACCTCTGAACTTGGATGTCGGCTGTAGGCATCCCATGAGGGACTAAATAGGGCACATTTGGCTGGAGGTGGGGTGACACCATGGGGAAGTCCCTGACATAAGTCAGTACTGAGCATATATTTGAATTAAAAAACTGTTCAATGATACATTTTTTTTTTTCCAGTTCAAGAACACGGGGCTGAACAAACTCTCTGGGTTGGACCCAGGGTGGCAGCTGCTATTTTGAGTTTTCCAATTCACATTTTCAAGGCACTCAGTGGAATGTGACTGCTCTGTCCTGCCTGTTTTCCAAATGGACCCCTTGGGCCTCTCTTCCACCCTCAGCACTTCCTCAAGTTGCTTCCGGTTGGGTGCAACCACACTTTATCGTTAAACACCAGTCAGTCTGCTTAGCATGTACAGAACCTGTTTTCCCAGCACTTCCGGTCTTGGTTATTTTTATGCAGATGTTTTTACTTAGCTCCTCGTGGCTATCAGGTACTTGGTGAAGCCACGGGGCAGCTCTGTTTTTTTTATCTGCAGAAACTGGAGCTGGGTCCATGTGACTCAGCAGAAATGGTCTTACCAGTAGTAGACCACTTCACTCCTGGCCTGTCATAAAGGCTCAGGGTCGGGAAGCTGTGGGAAGGGTGATGAGAGGAAGGGGTGGGGGGTCTTTGACCCACATGAGGTTGGTCTAGCTGGACGCAGATCCAGACTGAGGGAGTTTAACCACTATAGCTGCCACCTGGAGCTCTTGAGTTCTGGTCTGAAATGAGCCTGGCAAGCGGGTCAGGCAGCAGGCGTGCCCATTGCCAGGTTTTGTTATGTGTTTGTGGAGTGGACGGGAAGGTGGTGGTGGTCACACATGTGTGGGGTGGGGGTGCCAACCCTCAGGTCCTCGCAGGCAACTCGGGGTCAACCGTCCAGGCACAGGTCCAGCCACACTGTTAACTCACATCTAAAACTACCTGATGGAGTTGGTGAGTGGTTTTATCCAGGACCATAAAACCTGCTTCCCAGATGGCACTAGTGGTAAAGAACCCGCCTGCCAATGCAGGAGACAAAAGAGATGTGGGTTCGATCCCTGGGTCGGGAAGATCCCCTGGAGGAGGGCATGGCAACCCACTCCAGTATACTTGCCTGGGAAATCCCATGGACAGAGGAGCCTGTTGGACTACAGTCCATAGGATCACAAAGAGTCAGACACAACTGAGTGACTTAGTACATAACATGCACATAAAACCCCCGGGCCTGATTCCCCAGGGGCAGCCTCTTCAAGGCTACCTTCGCCATCTCACTGCATGGACACTGGAATCTTAGGACGAGTTCGTGTGAAGCCATGAAGCCCTTGGCACCGAAAAGAGTGCTAAAGTTCTGAGGCAAATGCATCACTGCAGACCTTATAACCCACTGCATCTGTAGCCAGGCCCCACCCTAGGAGCAGGAGCGTGTGGCTGGTTGCAGAGCTCAAGAGCAAGGCAGACTCCACCCAGTGCTCCAGGTGGGTCAGTCCACCTGAGCTGGGCCCCCAGGGACCAGCCTGCTGCCACTCACTGAGGACAAAAGAGCCTCGGCCAGCTAGCCACAACCATGCCCCCTCCACCTGCAGCCAGCACCTCTCCACCAACGCTTTGGAATCTTCATTCATCTAGAGTTTCTGGGCCCCTTTCTTTTAAATAAAACATTGAGTCAGAGAAAACATTCCAGTTTTCAAGTGGGTGCAGGAAGATTTAAGTAGTGAGGATGGTTTAGTCCATAACGGGGAAGCTCTCATCACCGAGTCAAACACTGACTCCTTTTTTCAGCTTTGCATTTCTCAAGAAGGGTCATCTCACATGATGGATCCACAGCTCTGGGGGCCATTCTTGCTTAAAGCCTAAACAGACTGCAGAGAACCAGAAGCACAAGTGTGTGACCTAATTTGCCTGGCCCTGTCTGTTTTGAGGCAGATCTCATTGGGTTTTTAATATATAATTGAATTTATTTATTTTTAATTGAAGGATAACTGCTTTACAACCAACCAATTGTATTGGTTTCTGCCAAACAGCAATGTGAATCAGCCATAGGTATACATATGTTCCCTCCCTCTTGAACCTCCCTCCCACCCACCTCCTCTCATTGAGTTTTTTGGTTTGTTTTAATATTTATTTATTTGACTGTGTTGGGTCTTAGTTGCGTCATGAGGGATCTTTCATTTTGGGGCACAGGCTCAGTCCTTGTGGTACACGGGCTTAGTTGCCCCTTGGCATGTGGCATCTTCGTTCCTCACCAGGGATCAAACCTGAGTCCCCAGCATTGGAAGGTGGATTCTTAACCACTGGACCACCAGGAAGTCCCAGGTCTTGTTTTATGTGAAACACTGTACCGTGCACAGGAAACCCTGCAGCCTGAGCTGAGTGCGTCTCCTCCTGGGCGGCACTGCCCACGGGAAGCCCCCATGGAAGT